TTAAATAAAACAGCAACTTCGAAACATCTCATATTTAGTAAATAAACAATTTAAAGTTCAACAACTAAAAATCAGCAATCAAAAATTAGCAAGCGTTCATCCCCCCGAGTGTTACATATCAGAGCAATGACACCGACTCGATCTATTGAAGGTATACGGCCTTCACTCTCGATTACCTGCACGTTACCAACATAGGGGCAACATTCAAACAGAAGAGGTGAGATAACTAACAATATAATAAAGCGCATGATAATTAATATATTAAATTAGATCAATAATATCACCACTTCTCATCTCATAATCAACAACAATTACAGCATATATACTCATTCATCAACATCAAATACATCTCATTATTCATTCATATGATGCGACTCAAAACTATGCAAATACATGTGGTACCATTGGAGAAGAACTCCCATCTCAAAAATCTAATCTGCCAATTAATAGAGGCATCAACAAGGCAATAACCTTCATCTTAAAATTTGCCAATCCAGGCCATCTCAACGAGCATAAGCTCCATCTCAAAAATGCAATGTATGCGACTCAACATGAATGTAATAACACACTCAGTTAACAACATCTCGAAACACATCTCAAAACAACAACATCTCAATCATCTCAAAACGACAACATCTCAGTAATCTCAAACAACATCTCATAAACATCTCAGAACAACATCTCGTAAACATCTCAAAAATAATTTATTAAACACTACTTATTTATCAAATATCATTTGTTCATCATAAATCATCAAACACCGCTTTAATAACCATATCTTACTAATAACTCAGCGGTATATTAATAATACAGTAAGCCATACTGTTATTCTTCTACTGTACATCATCATTGGCACTAAATCCTACTGTCATAATTCTAACAGCAGCCTCTAACATCTCAAAATTCATCATTTTGTTCAAAATCTAGCATAACGGTCATCTACAGAAATTAATTCTAAATCCTAAATTAGTTACTGGGATTACACTTCTTATCCATCATTTAATCATTTAGAATAGAGTTCATCGCGTTAGCTAATCAACGCTTCGAACGACATCTCAAACAGCATTTTAAGACTCAAGTTACAGCAATTTAAAAACTGATTCTGCCAAAATTATTCAGTATGCATCGACACAAAACACTATGCATCGACTCATTCTGCTTCATATGTGTACTATGAGTTGACACATCCTCCTTTGGATCGACTCATTCTGACTTTCAATACAGCATGTATCGACACATGCACTCTTCGTGTCGACTCATCCTAAGTCTTGTACTCATCATGCATCGACACATCCTCTCTTCGCGTCGACTCATCCTGAGTCTTATACTTAACATGCATCGACGTAAGCCCTGCATGCATCGACTCATCCTGAGTCTAACAGCCTCCTTGCATTAACTCATCCGGTTTGAGGTCGACGCATCCTGCGATTTTCTGCATAATTTTCTGCGTTTTCTACTGTATTTTGCTACGGGAATCATACTACAGCCCTAAAAACCTTATCATAACCATGATAATTCATCACTTAACATTAACTTACCATACTACATTGATTACACAGCATCATAACATCATTTATCCATCGAGAATTCATCAATATTCATCATACATCATTCAATTCAATAACAAAAACAGCAATCCTCTAACCCCACATATCAAACATCATGAACCCAATTATAAAGCCAGAACCCCACCCTTACCTTGGATCGAAGGTCGCTCTACAATTTCCGGGTTGAATATTTGTTCTTGTCGTTTCCTTCAAAATCCAGCAGCTTCACGTTCTCTCAAATCCTTATTACTCTTCTTACTGCTTCTTCCTTCTATTCTAACAACAAATAATAAAATAACCTAATATTATTATATTATTCCTTCTTGGGCTCAAAACCTACACCCCCTTATTACTTCCACTTACACCATATATAGACCCACATTAAATAATATTAGCTTCTAACATTATTTCACCACATAATAATATAATACCTCAAATATATAATTATTTCTCCATTTAATAAAATAAATCCAATTTAATAACACTTCTTCACAAATATTTCAAAAATAATTTAATTAAATAATTAATTAAATTACGGGCGTTACAGGAGTCAAAGATCTTAAAATCTTTAAAACAACAGCTCTTGTTGTTAACGTTTCTCCACATATCTTGATTTGATTTACTAGTTTTGTAACTCTAGTGAAGAAATCAGATATGCTTTCACTGTCTTCCATCTGAAGCAGTTCGTACGTTCTTTTGTGAGTTTGTAACCTCACTTCTTTCACCTTCTCAGCGCCTCTAAAAGACTTCTCAAGGAGTTCCCAAGCTTCTTTTGTAGATTCTGAATCACTAACCTTTTCGAAATTGTCTGGGCTAACACATTGATGAATTATATATAATATTTTATAACTCAGCTTCTCAGATTCTGTGTATTTCTTCTTTTCTTCTTCTGAAGCGTTTTCTCCAAGCGCTTCGACTCCATCTTTTACAAGGTCCCAAAGACCTTGACACCTGAATAAGACTTTCATCTGTTTGCACCAATTCTCATAGTTGTCAACTTTCAGAATTCGTAGGGTTGCTGGATAGTTTGCATTTCCATAACTTGTCATATACTTCCCTTGAATCGAAACAAAGCTCTTGATACCAGATGTTGGAAATCCACCAAAAGACTATGATGAATTTCTACCACAATGACGATTAGTTATGAGAAAAACAAAGAAAAGAAGACAAGACAATTAATTTCTGTAGAGTTTTTCTCTGCTCACAAACTGTAAAAACTTTATTATTCACTTTGCAACTGCAAAATACTGTGAATGACTTGCTTGACTTGCTTACAAAAATAGGGGTTACTCCCTCTATTTATAACTGAGTTTACACCCTAAAACCAAAGCCCAAAATATCTTTTTGTTACTAAATCAAATCTAATTTATTATAGACTTAAATCAAATTTATTTAAATCTAAAACAAATCAAATCTTTTCGGCACATAATTTCGACACACTGAAATACAATTTAACAAAATACATGACATCGTAAGTGTTAAAGTTAATATTTGTATCGTTAGATTTTGTTGAAATCCTACATTATTTAGGTTCTCGAGTTTAATATATAAAAATTAATATTTAATAATAAAAAGTAATATTTATTATGTTTTATATTTAATATAGATTTAAAGACATGAGAATAATCATGCATATTTTTATTATCATATAAATATTATGTTAAATTACATGATATTTTTGTTTTTTGGATAACACTATTAAAATATTACAAAATGTATATATCAATAAAATCACAAACGTTCATATATGTGATTTAAAAAAATATTAAACTAGTTTTATAATTTGCAAAGTGATTAACAGTGTTTATATAATACTTTTAATATATAAAAAAATTAAATCTTTACCCTCACTCGTTTTTAATAAAGGTCTATTTTAATAAATTTTAATTAAAAAATAATCAAATACATTTTAAAATATACATTATTAAAACATACTTTTATAAAAATAAATGAGTGTATTATAACAAATTTTACTGAATTTTATTAAAATATATTCATTTATTTTTATAAATGTGTGTTTTAACAAGTTTTAATTAAAAAAATTTAAATATATTCTAAAATACATGTTAAAATAGACCTGTGGGTCTCTTTTATATATATATATATATATATATATATATATATATATATATATATATATATATATATATATATATATATATATATATATATATATATATATATATATATATATATATATATATATATATATATATAAATAATGCATTTTTATCCCTATACTATATAAAGTGATAGAACGGGCCAAGTACTTAAAGTTCAGATATTTAAATAATGGGCCTAGATAAATTGCGGTGCAATCACCAAACTTTGTCAGTGGTACCACCGACAAAACAATTAATCCTAATTAATTTAAAATTTCAATAACATTTTTCATTATGAAACAGAATTCAACTGGTAGTTTGAAGAATTCAATTATCATTAACGCATCAAGAAAATAAAACAATATTCAATATATTATTTTTAGAGGTCTGATTAATTTTCTTAAAATATTTCTTCTATTTCTTTCTAAATATCGAATTTCAAACAACATTTTGCTTTAATTTAATTTAAATAAAAAAAAACAATTTTAATCAATTTTATAAATCTTAGTACAAGTACCTATTTTATTCGTTGAAAAGAGAATCTACCCACGGGCATGCAGGTTGAAACTGATGTTGCAATAGTTAACAAACCTGTGACTACTCTTTTTTACTCACTTTTGTCTCGTTCTCCCGAGCACCCTAACACCCTCTTCCTTCCTCACATGCATTGCATCTTTATTCATTTCACAACAAACAGAACTCACGAGTCCATTTTACCCTTCCATTTTATTGCTATCCAACATAACTGTATAGTCCTCACTCGTCATTTCAATAATTTATTCTTCTGTTTCTAAAATTTAATATTAATTATTTTTGGCAGAGACAACTGCCCAGTCAGATTTAAATAATTGTTTTTTATTGCATGTCCATTTATTAATAAAGAATTAAAAACTATTAAATTAAATTACTAAGTACTATTATTAACCAGAAGCCTGAAATAGAAAATATCAAATAATTAAATTCTTTCCTAAATAAAAAAATTACTATAATTTATTTCTTTATTTATTGGACTTATCTAGTAAATAAAATAATTCTGTATATATATTTTTGTAAAATAATAAATAAAAAGTATAAAAAATAAAATAGATGAAAAGGAAAGGTGGTTTTGGTCACGGATGAACAGAGGGGTTTGTCGTGATAGTCGAAGTCTTATTCAGGAACCAGCAACTGCAACTGTAGGTATAGGTGTACTTTTTTTTATTACAGTTATTAGCAAAACTAAACTAAACTACAAAAACAAACTAAACTTTCATCTCTTCACTCTCTTCCCCGATGTCCTAACATTCTAATCCCGCCGCGGCTATCTCCGTCGCATTTCGTCTTTCTCTCCGCCGAATACTCCTCCATGACAATGGCTGTCGATTCTTCCTCCTCCTGTCAGGTAACATTCTTTCTTTCTTTCAACCGAATCGGAATCTCAACTTGTTTATTGTTTTTTTTCTCTCTCTCTTTCTCTTTCTTTTAACAACTTGCGTTGTCACTTGTGAGTGATGAAATCGACGTTTATGCGTAATGCCGTGAAAGAAAACAAAAACAGCTGGAGAAAAATCTGAACGAGAGTCATGTGTGTGGAAGTGAAACTGAAACTGAAACCACACGATTTTCTTTTATCTGTTTACAGTTTTAAATTCAACTTGATTTACTTAAAATTTTGCATAAGATTCACGGATTGAAGATTGAGGATGCTTTATTGTAGATCACATTAGGTTCAACGTTTTTACTAGTTGATCAGTTGCATTTTTTATTTATTTAATGTTACTGTATGTATTCTTAATTATTTAGTTTCTTTGTATTTTTGTGATTAGCTTAGAAACTTGTTTTGGTTTTGCGGTTACATTGCAGAAACAACATCAAATTCAGGAGTTTCGAGAGGGGAATGGAAACGTACCCGTTGGTTGCTCTTGCTTGAAGTTAAATAAACCAAATGTTCATGATCTGAACTCACACCTTCCTCTAGGTAATTTAATTTAATTTATTTAGTATTTACGGCTCTCGAAGGCCGGAGCTGATTTCTTTGTTTGGTTTTTCGTTCAGATATGCCGCCAATTTTGGTTGAAGAAACTTCGTTTCCAGACGGATTGCATGGTTTGCAGGTTAGTTCTTCTTTCCATCATTGTTGTGAATTGCAGATCTTCGAAAAATAGTAACTTGTTCAAATTTTGATACGCAAGAGTGCTACGGCCTCTTTTTTTACGACAGTGTGCACTAAATTGTGTACTGAGGAACAACATCGGGTTGTTAGACTCTGCTATGCTATAGCGTCGTTATTTGACAACATTGCTTTCTATACAGTGATCTAAAACTTTTTGTTTCTTCTTTGACTTGTTAGTCTAGTAGATTGCATGTTGTGTGTGCTTAATGATAACGGTTGGTAATTATTTTATAATCGGGCGTGTCTTCTAGTATTTCATTTCAATGGTTTATCAAGAAAGATCTCTAGTTTAACAATTTGGATAGAAGTATGGTTTTGGATAGAACATTATGACGAGAGTCGATCCATGTAGCCGATCCCACTTAGTTGGACAAGGCTTGGTTGTTGTTGTTGTTGTGTATTTTCTGGTATTGCATTTCAATGGTTTATGTTACTGATGACTAGAACTTCTAGTCATAGAACCATAAGGTTGAGGGGAGAGGGTGAAAAATCTTTGTTTGTAAAGAGTTCGGACCTGAATTTCCATTTAGTTTTGAGTTAGCTTGTCACCTTGTTATTTTGGACTTTTTTTCTCAAAATGTCAAGAAGGACCGAAGGGACATATATAAAATGTTTTTTTTTTTTTCAGTGGTTCTTATTTTAACTGCTTGAATCAATTTTTGCCATAACTGATTGTTTGGAAATTCCTCAACATATGTTTTCTGAAACTGGTATGCTTTCCTTTTTTACAGGTCCAAGATGTTTATAGTATTTCAGCAGAGGAAGCTGAAAAGGCAAACAGTGTTTCACCACTTGCCTTCTTAAGCGTTGTAGAGGTTCCTAGTCAGGCTAAAAGCGGAATGTGTTTAGACACTCATATTAATTGTCAAAACAACATTGATTTTCAAATGAAGAGCAAAGATATTTATACCCAGTGCATAATTGATATACCTACTGTGAATGGAAACTCAATTTCCCCTGAATCCTATGAAGAGGGTGTTGAAAGTTTTAAAACTGGGAACTCGCCAACAGTAAGTCTCATAAGTTCACCTTCCTCACTGTAGTTTTTAGAGATAATCGTGTACAAGATAGATTTCGCAAACTGCGGATAACATGCTTACCGTTACACATATATGTAATCTCTATGTATGTGTGTCTTTATCCTTATACAAGGGTTGATATTTTGCAACATTGCAGAGCGTACTGTGCAGAGAATCAAGTCTAAAAGTTGGGGCAAAACTTATGCAGAGTCTAGCGAGTTTCAACAATCCAAGAGGTTTTTTTACTGTTCTTGGGTTTCTTAATATTTTTCAATTCCGATAAGCCTAAGTAGTTCTCTTTACTGGAATCGACTAGATAGTTGGGAGATGATTATTTTCACTAAGCAATCAAAATAGTTTATAGATGAATGAAATATTCTCCAACCATTACAAGCAGCTGGATTGACAAAGAAATACATTAGGATCATAAACAGATATATCTTCTTATAGTATGATGTAATGAGATTGAGGAATAGCTAACCTCCTATTCTATGTCATATTAAAGAATTAAAGCATGTTTTTAGCCAATTAGATCATTTCTGTCCTGTCCTGTAAATCAACTATAAGATTTCTAGTTTGTTTGCCTTTCCAAAAGTAATATAAGTAGGTTTTGTTCTAAATTGAACTTGAAGACGCGGGTATCTTCCATTCAAAATTCAAACTGTCCACATATTCTTTTTGTTTTCCATTGTTAATCGCATTGATAAGACTTCATAATATTACATGCTATATTATGATAATTCTTTATATTTTATCTTGCATTCATTGTGCCCTGATTAAGCTATCAATTACTCTTCTTTTTCTTGACTTGTGCTCATAATTTTGTGTCCAGAACCAAGCAGGTTTGAGATCTAATTACATTTTTTATTAAATTTCTTATTTCACAAACTCGCAGATAAACCAGTCACTGAAAAGTTACATGATTTGCCAAGTAACAAATGGAGAAGATATAAGCGGTCTACCTCTTTCGATTCTAGAAAAGTTGCTCTCCTGTTTTCAGTATTGTAAGTTACAGTGGATCGAAAAGTAAAATTTGACATATACTCATGGCTATCCACACGATCATACACATTTTATCTTGAATTCATTTTACTTTACTACTATTATTTGAAATTAATTACTATGTACTTATCTTATAAAATTGTTTTTGCAAACATTCATTCAAATCACATAATAATGCGACTTTATTATGTTAATTTCTAAAATATCTCGGTAAATCTATATGAAGAGATTTGATTGAATGCATATGTAATAAAGTTTTACACCAACAACATATCACTTAAATCTTTATTATTCTATAAAAGGACCACATCAACTTCACCTGTGTGCTTAGTCCTAACTAAAATATTCATATTAGAAAAAAGTTTGCAAGAAAATGAAACAGCAATAAAAACATACTGTTGCCATGTTTCTGCAGGTCAAGTTTGGGAACATTGGTATTGATATATATGACATTGAGGGTCAGACAGAAAGCTGATGGGTTTGTTCTTGGTTAAAGGTTCAATTATCGCTTTGTTCTTGGTTAAAGGTTCAATCATCGCTGCCTCGTATTTAAGTGTATACTTCTAAGTTTCTACTGTTGTTTAATTTTAGCATGTTTGAATTGTAATAGAGTTCCTTCCGATGTTGAGATTGGATTTGGGAAATGCTGCTATTTGGCACAAAAATGTAGATTACGTTTATCCTAAAGCTCCTTATGTTATTTACTCCTTCAGTGTCATTTCTTGTATTAAGTGTTTCATATTCTAAATTGTTAGTAATTTTAATATACTAACAAAATATTAGAAGTACTACTTATACTTTGGTCAATGAAAATTAGTTTATCATTACAAGTGACACTCAATAATATTCTTAAAACTACACGTAAACTTTTTTACCCGAAAATGCACATAATTGCAAACGACAGACATGCATGTGTGATAAATTTCCCGCCAAGCTAGACAATCTATCTATTTATAGTAGAGGCCAGGACCATTAAATGGAAACCTACCCTCCCAAAAAAACAGACATTTATTCGGACTTGAGGTGCAAGAAAGAAGGAATAAATGACGTGCTCGGATAATATTATTATTGAAACTCGCCTGATGACACCATGGTAAAGAAAATGCAGAGAAAATTTGTCTTAAAAATACAAGGTATTTATTAAAGTAGTAACTAACAATTACTCTATATAGCAAAAACTAGTTGAAAAAAATTGGTGTAATTTAAAAGGGAATTTGTACGTACAAAATTGTATTTTTTTTTATTCTTTATCCAAAAAAAATCAAGATTGTATACAAAATCAAGGTATTTTTTTAATTCTTTATACAAATACTGTTTCTGCAACTAGCATGTAATCGTTTAGTTGGTAAAATGCTTTGGACAAATCTCAGGTTTGAAGCTTTATCTATAAAATGCTTTGGACAAATCTCAGGTTTGAAGCTTTATCTAAACATCCAGTATCTCAGAAATTGATGATGCCTCTCCTACACGTCAACTGGTAAATAATGTTTAAATCCTTTTATTATCTGCATTCTTACATAAAAGGACCAACTGTATAAGAAAATAAAATAAGTAATCATCAATTTTTTTATCTTACATGGAAATCGTCACTGCTTAAGTGCTAGTCCCTACCAAACTAAACTGAAGAACATTGATACAAAAAGCACGTTTTGCCTAGGTGCATCTTTCCATTTTAGTAGCCAAACTAATAATTGTGCCAAATGAACAGACTAATATTGTCCTTGTGAATAGCACTTGTTTAGCATGGGCAACCTCCTCCCTGCTGCTCTGTGTGGGATGAATTCACGGTGGATTTTAAATTTACATCAACTAAGTCTTCTTGCTTTGTTGAAGAAAGAGTTTCCATCCCGGGCAGAGCTGAAGCAATCTTGCGAAATAAAGGCTGCAACATTTTATTCACTCGAGTTAATATGGACACAATTAACTAATGCAAGAACTAAACATGTGAAATGAGACAAACTTGTGAATGGTGTGCTTTTACATTTTATGAAAATGCAACAGGGAATCATTCTAGGTTTCTCAGACTGATATACATTTAGAAGACATAGCTCACAATTCAAAAGCAACCGATTGTAAAAATTACGGGGTGACTTGGAGAATTAATCAAATCTCACCTTGATATTAAATCCTGCTTTTGCACTGGTTTCAATAAACATGATCCCACTTTCGCGTGACTTGGCATCTCCTTCCTCTATAGAGACTTGCCTGTTTAAGCATTATAATTGCATTATGAGTAATAAAAACATTGTCATTTAGTATTAGAAGAATTGTATTGACATGTGACAGAAGAGGAGAAAACAGACAAAATATGACGAGAAGGAAAGTGAAAGAAAAGACAAACATTGTAATTTCCTTACAAATATAAGTGGAAATTTAGTAAAAGAAAAATTGCAAAATCATGTTTAAGCTAATTGGAAATGTCACTGCCCAAAAAAAGAAATTTTATCATCATGTACCTATAAATTTACCTTTTAAACATGGTTTTTGAAAAAGCAACTTCAAGGTAGGACAATTTGGATAAACTAGTCCTAATTTTGAGTATTACATAATCTATTTATATAGCAAAATAGTATGCAAACAGAACAATAATTATTTCCAAAATAAACAAATATTTTTTCCCAATAATTTCAAAAACCAAACAAGAATTATTACAAACATAGTATGGAAACAGTAAGATATAAATCAAGTGTGTAACATAAAAAAAGTGTCTAAAAAATCATGTCAAGTTACCAAACCAGCTGATATGTAACCTCTGAGAAAAACACTATGTCCAGACTGGTAGACAACCTGCTCACCTTTTTTCAACAAGATCAGTTTTGTTTCCAACCAAAACGATAACAACATCACTGCCTCGTTCTGTACGTACCTCCTCAACCCACTTGCTAGTGTTAAGAAATGATTGCCGGTCTGCATCAGAACAACTTGCTAAGAAATTTAATGATTATAATTTGATTTATGCTTCATAGATAACTAAAGACGCTAAGCACCACTAATTCCACAAGCAAACCAGTTATAAAGAAAGGGTGTACAAGAAAAACCATAGTAAGAGAGGTAAAGAATGGGGAGCTGACATTTTCAACACTTTTCTGATACTTATAGTATTTTATTTTCTCCCATTTTCATAACTAAACAAGACCCATGCTTCTTCTTACTAAACTTGTTTTCATAAACTTATTTTAACTTTGGAGGAAGCCTTGTGTATCTAATACTGACTCGATATTACTGACTTCATATTACTTTCTTCTTGAGTCTCCAACTAATTATCCACACATGATAAAGCACAATGACACCGTCGCTTGGATATGTTCAGTAAGCACATCCAGAAATAACATAAAAATACAAGATTTGACTCTTGGAGCACACCTATAGTCATAAAGAGATTTTCTGTATTCTCACTTTGGATATGTTAACTTGACCATTCTTATTATCATTCTTTCTTTACTAAGATATTCATAAGTAAAACCATATGTTGGAGAGTAAAACTCTCTTCTAATATGACTTTGTAGTTTATGTTCTATTTCTTTTTTTTCCTTAAATATGTGTTGACTTGAGAAAATCAATAATTATAACAATATAAAGTGATGTTTACTTCCCACAAACCATAACCCTTTGAACACTCTCACACGAGTCACACCTTCTAGCTACCCTTTTAACATGACCTTCATCTAAACCATTTAAGTCATCTAAACCATTTAGATTGTTTTTCAAGAAACTCTTTATTGTATAATGTTTCCTTATCTAAACCATTTAAGTCATGTTAGAACTTCATCTTGTATTGCGCCAGTAACCTTACTTGGGTGCATATGCATTGATAACATTAAAAGCTTCTCATTCCACTCTAAACTATAGAGCTATGACCCTTCCGTCTAACCTTTTAGTATCCACAACCTTTTCCATACAATACCTGTATATAGCAATGGCCAGCTCAATTCTAGATCTTATTTTTCATGTGTTTTAAATCTGGAATTACAGCATGCCTAGTTCTCTAGTACTTACTCTCTTCTACTCATCTAGTTTTTGACAAATACATAAGATTTACCCTTCTAATAATCATTGTTTCTACTTTCTACTATTTTTAATTGATCTACCAATGTGTGTGCCTACATTCCATGTTCCAAAATGAATATTACTCCCATGAATAAAAACGTTAACTTAATAGTTTGGAATACTTATGTCACAAGAAAACCTATGAAGACTTAAAAAACAACTATTCAAATTTTTTCTCTTTCTTAAAAGAACAATACTCACTGGCAACATCATATACAATAACCGCGACAGAAGAATCTCTTATATAGCTTGGAATGAGACTTCTAAATCTTTCTTGTCCTGCAGTATCCCTGTAGAGTTAAAATAAACTACACTCAAAATATGCAAAAACAACTGATAAAATAGTGCCTACGCTACAATGTGAAATCTACTATAGCTTTTAGAATATAAATAAATTAACAAATATAAACAGACTGATGATGTTATATGACGAAGAGGAATACTGCCTACCAAAGCTGCAAACGAACTGTGCGATCTTCAAGGTACATTGTTTTTGACAAAAAGTCAATACCAATAGTAGCCTGAAATTTAGATGATCAAGAAATTCATCAATAGCATTACTTCTATTTTGCAAGAGTTGAGACCAGACAAATGCATTACAAATAAAGCATCCTGAATGCATCGTATCCTAAATTTGTCAAGGAATAACATATCGTAGTATCTGATAAATATGATTCCCATAGACAATGACACTGTATTCAATCATTTTATATTACTTTTATTATAATGGCCAAATTATACAACTATTTTAATTCTTAACCGGAACAATTTTGCAATGCATCAAAATCAACATATATCATTAGATCTATTCTCAATATTCATAATACTCCAAACACAGAATAAAAAATAATCTCAAAATTGGATAAACTACATGCCAAAAACGGCAATAGTTCTTCAATTACATCTCATATTGATCCATGATCCGAATAAAATCACATAAATATTAAGTAACGTATCACGGAAACGCATTATCTGATTCGCGATGGAATGAAATACAAGATCAACAGAAACAAAACGATCCAGATTGATTCAACATGAAAATTGAAACAGAGAATCGATCAAAGAAATTTTCCAATAAGAACAAATTAGAAAAGAAAAGAACGAAGGAATAACCTGATAGGTATTGTCGAACTTATCATACATGAAGCGAGTGATGATGCTGGTTTTCCCAACCGATTGATCACCTAAGAAAACGAGCTTGTATTTGGCAAGAGCGGACACAGTCGCCATTTTTGTTACTTTTTTTGGACTTTTTTTCCTTTGTTGTTTGAGAAACGTGAGTAACGCGAATTTGGTTCAGATCTAATGTTGATCTAAATCTGAATCTCTCAAAATTTCGAGAGAAACAGTTAGAGCGAAAACGAAGAGAGGGAGAAAATGCAGTTGACAATAATCACCACCTGTTGCAATTTTCAAGAACAATCACTATATATATGGCCACCATGATGATTCATGACCAGTCTTCCGCGCACGTTTTTTTCTATTACCAATTCCAACCCCTTCTTTCTTTCAATTTACTTTTATATCCTACAAGAAACCTTAGCAATGTAGAATAGGTCAGATCACACAATTCATTCGCCAAAACCCAATTATATAGCTAAATATAATTTAGAAATGCACTCCTGCATTTTCGAAATTCAGTTAACGATAAACAATTCGCAAAATTAAACTAAACTAAATTGAAATTATAAAAAATTGTATTTAGTTCGGATGTGTTTATGCCATTTTTAATAAAATTGTTTGGTTTAGTTCAATTTACTGTTTATATTTTACAAACTGAGTCATACTACATTATAATTAGAAACGCTTTTCTCTTACATTTAAGATTTCAATTTCAGTCTTCTCAAATATCTCTTTGCACACTCTACTTATAAGTCATGCACTCAACCAGTACACTAATTATTTTAATTTGTATATTCTTCATTTTGAATACTACTTTAAATATAATTTATTTTAGATATCTATCGTCACAAATAAACAACTAGAAAAGATTTATTTAAACATAAATGTGATTTTAATATTAAGTAGGATTGATTTTTAATTTTCAATTACGAAATTTAATTAATAACACATAGAGGTGTGCTGAAACATTTTCTTTTTAATACACACTACTATTTTCACCAGAAGTGGCATCTACGTGCAACTTTCGACTCACTAGGCAAAAGCCTCTTCTTGCTTGTCTTGGATTCGCTAAGTCAAAGGCTTCCCTCAACGGGCCTTCGATCTACAAGACAGAGGCTTCCTCATACTTTTCTTGGATTCACAAGGCCAAGACCCCTCAACACAGTTTATGCACTATGGCACACAATATGACCCCTTCAAAAGAATACTCCAAAGGCCCATTCGAAGGACATACATTGGTGGTCCATTCGAAGAGGGCACCGGGCATACATATGGACTATTCGAAAGACACTCAAAAAGTCCATTCGAAGGAGGCAATAAAAGTCTCATTCGAAGGGTACACAAAAGGTCCATTCGAAGAAATATTCAAAAGGCCCATTTGAAGGGTTCGCAAAAGGTCCATTCGAAGAAACATTCAAAAGACCCATTCAAAGGATACACAATAGGTCCAATCGAAGGGCAGAGACTGAAGGCATTCGAAAGTCAAAGGTGTCCAGGTTCATAGCAAATTCAAAAAGGGACAAGAAACCATATCTTTGGCAAAGTTTCAAAGTGACATTCATGGCCTTTAAAACACCAACGTAATGGTTGCTTATTCCTTTGTCCTCTTGTCCCCTCCATCCCCTCTATATAAGGAGCACACTAGCAAGCTTAGAAAGGAGGACGGAAAAAAGAGGATACCAGGTACATACGCACACGCTGCCTCACAAGATCATACCAAACTTGCCTTTTTCCTTTCGAATCCAAGAGCATCCAACAACTCCATTCCACACACAAGTTCCAGTTCCAGGCAAGGTAAGTCCTCCTGACCTAGCCTCTTTTCGTTTCAGCATAACATGTAAATAGCCTTTTACTTACTTTTCGTTTCAGCATAATATGTAGATAGCCTCTTAGTTATGTTCTCTGTTTCTGCCCTCTTGGTTTGTTTGCTTTTATTGTTGGAACTAACTTGTAAAGATTCAAACGAAAGACAAAAAGAGTGTGAACGAAGGATGTGCACTCATGTTGCTCCGCAGATCCATGTTACTTCATATTCTAAATGGAAAGAAGCAGGGGAGTTTGTAGTCAAAAGTTGCTCATGCCCACTCCCTGGCTCAATCAAAAGAAATAGAGAAGGTGTAAATCAAAGGTTTCCCATACCATTTCCAAACTCAATCGAAGGAGGCAGGAAAAGGTGCAAATCGAAGCTTGCTCACGTCAATTCTTAAGCCCAACCAAAAGAAAGCAAAATAAGGGTGAATCAAAGGAGTCCATGGCCCAGATCGAAGAATTCATTTCTCTTCTTTATTTGGTTATTTATTTTGTTCTTTATTTTTACATTTTTCTTGTCTTTCGATTTGGTTGTAATAGCGTAAGACCGTTACTTTCTGCATTTTTACTAATTTTCATATTAACTGTTAGATGTATGACTAATAGGATTGTATGGAAGAATAATAACAAAAGGTTAGAAAACCTAACACAAAAGATAAAAAAATAACTGAACATAACACACATTACACATATACACCTCTAGGGTACCCTACTTTGGTTGCCTTCGGAAATAAAACAGTCATGTCCCTTGACTCGAGACAGGGATGCTTTAGCAAAGACCCATAAATCAAAAGATCATAGTCCCTCGATGACCCTACAGTTGCCTTTCGGTAAGTGATCTAGTCCCTAAACAAAATTGCTAAAGCGTCTCCACATGTTGCCTTTATGATTGTACGTCCCTTCGAATGTCTCTCATACATCCAACAATAAGGCTACCTACTCACTAATAGTATGATAGCATTGTTTAAAGGATAAGGTGGAAAAGAACAAACTTTTTTCGAATACAAGTAGATAGCTGTTAAATGCTTGCTCAATTAAAATAAACTTTTTTACACCTACACATTTCAAAAACAACTTTCATAAAGACATTTGATTTATCAACACTCTTGAGGACTGATACAAGAGTTATCATAAAGCAAATCTCGCACTAAGGAATTTTCAAATACTTTTCAAAAACACAAAGCACAAGGTATTTCAAAAATGACCTAAGCATCTAAAAGCCCGTAGATAACTACAGATGGAAAGGGTGCTAACACCTTCCCTTTCCATAATCTACCCCCCTTATTCAGAAAAATCTCGAAAAGGTCTTTTTCTATTCTTTTCACCCTTTCCTTAATTTGGATAACAAAAAAGTCGGTGGCGACTCTTGCTTACCGCAACATTTGCAAACACAAAATGCAAAACCAGTATATAACAGTCGGTTATGTCACCGTATAAACACACTCAATATATTATAAACTCGTTTCTTAAAGTGACTTCATCTTCTTCCTCACGCCAGTATCCATGAACATATTTTTAAATTTTGTAAAATGCTCATTTCTCAACCAAATCAGAAAATGTAAACATCAAACTTGCTTGAAATTTAACCACGAGTCCAACCATAAAAATTTCAAAAACTATAGATCAAAGATGAGTGAGAATTTTATTTGGTACCAAACTGAATCCTAAAATTTTAGAAACTTCGATTTTGAAATTCTCATCATGCAAGCAATATAAATGAAAAGTAAGCACATGGTTAGCTTCAGAGAAATGATATCTATATTTTTTTCTTTAGAAAGCAAGTGCAAAGGATGCTTGAATAAAGATTTCAAAGTTAGAAAAACTTACCTCTGAAGTGAGAATCGAGTCTGGATTTTGAGCACGTCTGGAGGTGTTAGGATGATCTGGATAGCTTCACGAACTTCCAGGAAGCTTTACAATGCTTACTTTATGCTGAAAGTGTCTGAATTTTTCTGGAAAAGTCAAGTTACAAGGCCTTGTTTTTTAAAATGGAAGATGATGAAGATGATGTTACAGTGATGAAACATGACTTTGGACAAGTTCTAAATGAGTTATAGAAGCTTTGTGAATGATTTAAAATGAAAACGCGCAAGTGAATTGGGTGTTTGGAGTTCAAGATCAAAAATTGCCACAAATGGAGTTTTTAAAGCAAATTCTGATTTGAGAGAGTATGAGGGTGTTTTAGGTCTTACGAACCTGTGCCTTGTCTTGTAAATGACATCTCTATTTATAGAGAAATTTTTTTGAGGATGAGAGGGCTTGGGTTACAAGATCACATGTTATGGGTTGGTTGGATTGTAAATAAAGTAATCTTTGAAACACATGGTTTCAATGTGAAGTACATGGCAATCTAAAGTGGTTAGGCACTTTAAACATGTTGCTTCTGGCTTTTGTGTGAGTGTGTGTAGAGGAAACAAGTGAAAGGCTCAAGGAGAGTTGACAAAGTGATTAAAGCAAACTTTTCCAAAATGGAAGTGTGAACTTTGTGCTATTAATGAAAAATTGTCTTGGACAAAGATTGAATCAAGTGGATAATGGTTCAATCAATTGTGTAAATATTTAATTATGGTGAGATTTACAATTTAGAAGCCTGTTAAAGCAAGATTTATGCAACATGGCTTGGAGATTTGATCTCATGTTCATCACAAAATGACTTGTATTTCAAGAATGGATGACCAACTTCATCTCTTTGAATCTCTTTGCTCAAGCATGATAAAAATGTGTTTTTGGACATTTTGGAAAGTTTGAAACATTGTCTACAACTTTCATATTGACCACTTTGACTAAATCAAATTTGAACTTGGTGAAAAAATTTCAAGAAGTTGAGATAAAAATCTGACCAAACTTGTTGAAATTTTTTCTAAGTGTAGAGTAAAAATGTCACAACCTCGTGGTCTTGAATCTCTCAAATTAAGCACTTTTTGAAGATCATCCCTCAAGGACAAATTTGTATAATTCATCAATCCCTACAACTTTCATGTTGAAAGTTTTTCTTGAATCATCTTGCATCTTAGTGAAAAATTGTCATGAAGTAGTGAATTTATTAAGAACAAAAACACTTAGAAATTTTTCTTAGTGTTGAAATTTTTTCCAACTTTTGACTTTTGTTGACTTTCCTTGATTCTTGATGATCAAATTTGATATTTTTGAATGTTTTGATGATTCTTGATCTTTGAAGTTCAATGTTGACCAAAAAGTCAAAGTTTAACTTTTTGTATGCCTATTGACTTTTTATCAATTGATTCAAAATTTAACTATCAATCACTTGATCTTTGGAAATGTTTTGAGCCATCTAATTAGGTCAAGATATTATATTTAAGCCCTTTAGATCATGCTTCAAGTCATTAGATCATGTACTAGGTCAAAAGTTAATGATCAGTCATTCTTAGTCAAAATCCTAATTTTGACAATTTTGCCTCTTTGGTGATCTGAGGGATTTTCTTGAGGAATTATAATCAACCCTTGATCAAATGATGAATATGACTTCAAAATATTGATGTTGACCAAAAATCTTGAAATTTGACTATATGTTGACCACAATTGACTTTTTTGTCCAATACAACTGATTTTCAGTCATCTGAGCAATTGACTGAGCAAACTTGTGATGCGAGACTTGAAACTTGATATGAGCATTCTTGAAGACTATGATGAACCATGAAAGTCACTTGGGGCATTAGAAGTCCAATTTTCCTTGAGAAAACCAAAACCCTAGTTGTGGATCCAGTGCTTAGGAGGTGAGCTTGTCTGATCAACTCTTGAGTATCCTTGAGTATTTAAGAATCTTAGAAAAAGGTTTTGAAGAAAATAGAAGGACAAATTTTGGAATACAACACATATTGATGAGAAAATTACTAGCAAGTGAACTAGTGTTATCGAAATAATAAAATTAAATTCATCTCCACAGGAATTAGGAACTTTAAACAAGGAACGCGTACGATGTAGTTAAAAGAGTAAATTGAATGTTTTCAAGATGTTTTGATTAAAAAAAAGCAAGAAAAATGTTTTATAACGATAATGAAAAACAATCAGATTTTATTGTCAGAATCCCTTATTTTTTACTTGATTGATGAAAGACGCAATAACAAACATACACCGAATACAATATTACATGTATATATTATCCAGAGAAACATTATTTTTCGAGGGCTTTAAGAGAAAATCAAAGTACAGATTTTGATCCTTTTTCCTTTTCACTCATGATATAGAAAAGATTGATACTAAACAATGTGTATGTCAAAAATATCTTAAGAGCACTTAATGGCATTTTTAACAATTTTAATCCACATATTGTATTGTAGTAATGTGTTTTTGCTTCTCTTTTAAACATGTGTGTAATGACATTTACCTTTAATTAAGCCAATAAAGTGAACTAAGGGAGGAATTTGGATAGTTTACATTCACTACCGAAAAATCAATCGAATTGACCGTGGAATTCAAACACCGGAAAAGTGGAGATGTAAATATCATTTCTTGTGTGGGAAGTGGTTTAATTGTGAGAAGAGATTGAACACAATGACTGATAATTCCAAGTGAGTTATTAGTAACTTGATTTCTGTGAAACAGCTCAGAGAAACTAGTTGACACAGTGTATATATACTGCTTACAAAATCAATTTGCCTCAACCAAAATTAAAATAAAATAAAATATATACACTAAAACAGGATGATGGCATCAGATGGTAGTCAAACCCACGTGCCATTCTTTAACGCCAATTAATATCCCATGAAGAGTGCTATACAGGAGAAGTAGCCAGCACAAAAAGTAACTAAACAAAGAACATACAACCATGGACATCAAAAACACATCCAACATAACTTGAAAATGTAACCAAGATAGCAGAACTACATAGTTATTGGTTAATATGAATAGTCGGGCTTCGAGCCAAAGCATTCATCTGGATAGAGTCTAAATTGGAGGATGAGAAACAACTAGTGCAAAACCAGAAGGAGATGGAATTGGAGAATGACCTAATAAACTTAAGTTACCGAACCCCAATAGCATGGTTTTAGATTGTAACTGCAAATGCAATTGTTTCTGCACTGCAATCATTGATATTTTCAAAAACAGTAAACAAATATTGTGGATGCAGTTGCAAATGAAGAGACAACAATATCCAAATTCCTAAACATTACAGACACAATTTGATTGCTGGCCTTAATTTAAAACCATGGCCTATTATACCAACAAATGATTAGTGGCATACAGCTAAGGAAACTGACTCCAAATATTCAAGGCAAAATCCAATGAATCTCCATCTTTTACAAACAATATGTACATTGCATAAGCAATCTCATCTATCAAAGTGTGACTAAAGGTTGACATTCAAGTTAGAGCTTCTTCTTTACTAAAATTCAAGGAGCATATGAGTGACACAACTGATCTCCCACCCCGATTAATTCCCCGGCAGATTTCGAATCATATTCAATAACAAAACTTTTATGGCTTGGCTTCCAAGCAAAATTCAAGCCATTAGCAATTCCAATTAACTCAAGACATATTAGACTATATGCGATTCCACAAAACCAGAAATTCAATAACCAGCATGGTTCTTTAAGACTCCTAAATCCAATTGTACCAAGATGATCCAAGGACCTGTCATCAACATCAATCCTTAAGAAAATCCAAAAAGGAGTTATCCATTTGACATCACGATACTTAGTTACCGCTTTTATTATCACTCTTGTCATCATTCCCAAAGGACTTAATTTCAGATGATAAGTGGGTTGGATGGTATTTAGCATATGTCATCTCTACTTCGAGTATCATTTCTAGACCTCCGAATTGTCAAACAAATAATTTTGAAAAGAGTTCATTTTCCTGAAGTAATAATTAGGGTGATCCAATCCCTAATATCAATCTAGGAGAAGGAATTGAAAGGAAAAATGCAAAGTATTCCAAACCATGGCAGACCTAGCATAACCTCAAAAACAGTGAATTGCAGTTTCACGAGTAGCTCCATACCTACGACAAGGGAATAAACACCTTACAAAGCAAAGAATCTAGTTGGGAAAGCTTAATTTAATTATATGAAATCGGGGAGACTTTATAGGCCCAATGACTGGACAATAAAGGAACTTAGCAGATACAGAACAAAGTAAAAGTAAGACTAAAAGGTTGACAGATAAAATCATGTTAAAATATCAAAGCAAAAAAACATCAACTATATAACCCAAATTTGTTACAACCAACAACAAAGGAAACTTTATTCTCTAACTAGTCGTGTTCTGATAATCTCATCAGACCCTTTTACTCTTCGAATAAACCATCAAGTAATTAATCCTTTTATAGTCAGTTTCGTTTTATTTAACCCATTAAATAGCTCATCAAGTAAAACTTATTACACACCAAATATTACAAACAAACTACTAGCACAATGCATAACAACAAGAACATAAATGAAAAACAGGCTATAACAGACCAAGCAAAATCAAGAGTAATTCATTGGTTTACTAAATACCAATGAAATCTAGATGAACATTTCATAACAGCAATGTATTTGTTTCCCAATTCAGTTAAACATGTTTTTTCAATTCCATAATAGCTTGCATAATACTAGTACCTGCTACTCGCTATCAGTAAGTAAATAATACAAACAGTTGGTGCTCAAATATTATATCTCAAAAATTATTGAATCAGAAAGAACACTTTCATCACTAATCAACAAAAATCCAATAAAAACCACCAAATTTCATCATACAAAACCCAAATAAGAAATTTAAAAAAAAAACTACCTAGTGGCAGTACTCCTACCAGACCTCATGTTAGTCCAGGGAAACTTGGCAGCAGAACCATCAGACCTGTTCGAACCGGCCCGATCAGACCGTCCCCTATTCAAACCGGAACCATCAAATCGTCCCTGGTTCGAGCCGGACCCATCAAACCGTCCTCTGTTTGAACCAGAACTATCAAACCGTCCCCGGTTATAACCGTTTTGGGGCTTGAACCGTTGAGCCTCCTTGTTCTCATCGAGCCAGTGTGATTTGCTTGGCGCTTCCTCAACGACGCTAGCCATAGCCTGTTTATTCAAGCTCTTCTTATCCTCTTCAATTACCCGGATCGGGTAAAGATTCGGGTTAACCGAAAGCGGGTTTTTTAGGGTTACGTAAGCTTTTTTGTAATCAGGTTTTGCGATCAAGATTCCGCCGCGTTTCTTCTTCTTTCCGTCCATGTTCAATGTTCGAACCTTTTCAACCTCGAAGCCGTAGAGGGATTCCAGAACGCGTTTGATCTCGATCTTGGAGGCGGAAGGGATGGTTTTGAGGGCGATTTCTTGGATGTTGGTGAAGGAAGTTGGCATGAGAAGCTTGATTGGTAGGTTTGCGAAGTGTATCACTCTTCTTCCTAATCTGCTTCCCATGATTCTTTTTCCTGCGCTTCTCAGTTTCTCTTGCGACTTCACTAACGCAGAAATGAACAACCCTCGCGACTCTCTTGATTTTTGTTTTTGTTTTTGGGAAATGTCGGCTTTGCCCATATATCAGCATACATTAGCTTCATGGACGATACTACACCAATCTTATTTACACTTCTCATTTAAAATTATTTTTTCCCGTTTAAGAAAGTCGAAATGATCGACGAAACTGTGAGATTAGATGTTAAATGGGTAGATCAATTAACACTTTAAGTAAATAAATGAGAGAATGAAAAGTAAAATGGGAGTGAGAATATAATTGAGGTTAAAATCGTATGCATCTGAGAAGGTGGGTTATGTGATTATTGGATTTAATAAGACGATGATTAACGTGTTTGGAGGGTGAAATTATCTATCCTTGCTGGAATGAGAGATCACTTGTTGCATGAGTCTCGCGATTGATCTAGAACAATTGTCCCTCAAGTCTTTGTCTCTGCTTTATAGGACTAGGATTTATCGTGCACACCCCTAGGTCAGCCTCTGGAAGGAGCGACAATAGTGTATAGTTTTAGTTGTTTTATAGGTTTTTTTCTAGATATTGATCTTTTTGACTATAAGAGTAAGTTCGAACGTGTTATTGCGTAGGAACACTAAAGTGTTAGCTTTCCTATAGGAATAACGAGAGCCTTAAAGATAGATTTCTGTAAGTATGATTGGGGATTTGAGAGCTACGTCAACAGTGCATATTGTCTCAAGAGTATATGTCTTGCTTATCCCTCTTGTGGGAGCCCCTATATATAGCTTCCATAATACCTTCAAGAGATTCATTTAAGGCGCTCCTTGAAGTTCCTCACGTTATCATTGCCCTGAAACGTTCGCCGCTAGCCATCATTGGTGCACTTAACTCAGGGTAACGACTGGTGATTAATAGTTGGTGATTGTTTATGGAGTTACGGTCGGGTCCTCGCGATGACTCTTCGTATCCTGTCTGGTCGCTGAAACAACCGGCTGAAAATCATCAAAACAATGAAGTCTCCATCGAACGTCTTTTATCCCACATGTAAGGAAAGGTGAACATCGAGAAAACCTGAGATGGGAGAAGTCACGGTCTTGCGACCGAGAGATCGGGTAAGGGAGTCTGTTACGCGAGGGGAAGGTATTAGCACCCCACACGCCCGTAGTACTCTACGGTATCCACTCTTGTTATCTATCTTATGGGTGTGTTTAATCTATGCTTACTGTCTACTATACTACTGAAGGAATGCATGCAAAAGAAAAGAGAAAAAGAATGTAGGGAAAATAAAATTGTGCTCGCTTGGGCCCTACCCCAATGCCTACGTATCCTTTTTGAGGAATCAGAGCTACCGTAGTTCGGCTCACATTTTTTGTTTGTTTGTGTTTTTTATGGACGAAGTTAATCCCGCCTTCTGCCGCAGCTCGACCTTTGGAGACTTATGCGTTGGCACAGAAGTAGATTAATCGTGTCCTTACCTGAAAAGGTTTTTTTTTTGAAATGGTGCTCGAGCGCACAAAAGATTTGATTTTGTTCTGTATTTTTGTTGTAGATGATGACTGATTGACCTCAAGAGAGAGATATTAGCCATTCTTCTACTTAGTCATGAAAGGAGTCTTTGAGAATTGAACCACACCTATGCTTGAGATGAAGAACAATAAGATCGAGAAGAGACCCGCTTGTCATTTCTCGTACTAAGCAAAAGCATGATTCGAATCAATAGTTTTAAAGTATTTTGAGTTTTGAAAGAAAAAGAAGTTTTTGTTTTAGATGCGTATGCGAAAGGAGAAAGAAAAGTCAGAAGGAGACTAGCTTACTTCTAAACCTAATGTTATTATGCGTTAGTAGCCATAAGATTTAGGTTAAAGGGGAAATTTCTACCTGATGTTAGTATGTATATGGATTGCGATAAAATACGAAAATGAAGAATAAAATAGATTTGCGACAATACCGAACGGAGAAGGTCCGTTGCCTCTTCAAAATTGTGCAAGCGGTAAGAAAATTCTATCAAAGTTTCCTCGAACGAGTGATTGAAGAGTTCACCCCGAGCATTCCACATTGCAAGAGTTATGTCGATGCTATCACAAAAATCTTGACTAAAAAAGTCAATAAAATGATTATCGAATATGAAAAATAAAATAGAAAAAATTCTAATCGAAATTCTAAAATGAAATTCTATTCTAAAAATATTCTATTATTTTTATTGTTTTATTATTGATTAAAAAAAAATTAAATTAGAAGAAAAAAACTAAAATAAAAATTAGAAGAATCAAGGGGGTACAAGCTGAATTCAGGGTGGTGCAAGCCAAATCTAGGCGTTATGGCCCAACATGACATGAGTCCAATAAGCATTTTTAACAATTATCTACTTAGTTATTATTATTATTAATTTGAAATAAAAATAATAGAATAATAAGACAATTAAAAAAAAGGAAAAAACGTATGAATATTGGAAAAGGAATAGGGTTAAAGAAAAGATTGGAAAAGGAATAAGGTTAAGGAAAAGAATGTCTCTTCCTCTCAAGCGGAACAGCGGCGGCGCCGCCGGCCCTTCGTCCGTTGCATTGCTCCGTCTCAGTTTCCCCTTCTTCTCATCACCGGCGCGGCTGTCATCATTTCTTCATCTCCGATCGATTTCCGTTCAACCTTCACGAATTGTCAAGGACGAAGTCGCCGTCTTCATCTTCGTTCAACCTCCATCTTCATACGACTCATCTTCTCCGATGCAACTACGATGTGGCCTCATTCCACTGATGCACAATCGAATGGAGTAGTTTCGTAGGCTCTTCAGAGCGATGCTGAATTCACAAAAACCAGAGGTAATACGATGCTTCAGCTTTTGCGTTTGATACTCTTCTTTCGATCTTCTTTTTCTGCTATCTCTCTATGGGTTCTGGTTTTGCGTTTGTTGCAATTTGATGTCGAAGTTTTTGTTTACCGAAGGTGATGATGATGTCAAGGTGCTAAGGATGAAGATTGGAGGAGGAGGAATTGGTGATAAAGATTGTTGCAGTTGTCGTTATGGATTCGTAGAGAGATGATCTGATAGATAAATTCTGCCAATTCAGAGATGAGTTTCTCCTTTTTCGTGAAGTTCTATATGAATTCTTCCTCTGAATTGTGTTCTTCAGAGAGGCAGGGAAAAAGAGAGTTCTTTTCTGGTGTATTGGCAGATGAATATGAGAGAAGAAAGAGATAATTTTTTGTGATTCTTCTTTCAGAAGTGAAGAATGAACGTGATGAAGATGAAGAAGAAAGGGAGAGAGCTTTCTGTATTTTTATGGTGATTGTGCAGTTGGAGAATGAGATGAAGATGAGAGGAGAAGAGGGAAAAGGTTTATGGAGATTCTACTGCAAAATTGCAGAATGAGATGATT